CAGATGGCCATCATGTTTAAACTTGTAAAGCAGTTTGTGGTAATTCACTGATTAGCTAGTTACTGCCTGATCTTTGGATATTCATTATGTAATCTCATGAGTACGTTGGTCCATTGACACGTCGTTTAGTTGGAGCCTGTATGTTTTAAAGATATTGGATCAGAACATGGAGAGACATTCGAAAATGGCACGTTTCGCTGATGGACCAAGGCCGTTGAGTAGACATAGCTGTATTTGTGATATGAAAACGAGAGACAAAAGCATGGCAGATTCTAGACTCTAGGTTTTACAAATCACTCAAAGAAAATACTCAACAGTCAAACTTGAATGGCAGTAAACCCACACATGCAGTAGTCTCAGGATAAGGTTAATATCATTAATAAACAGTAACTGAAATGTATCACTTTTAAAGTGTTTTTTTAATTGACTGTAATCTCTTCCACCTGTTGTCTCTAACTAGCTGACATAAAAAAAACAAATCCACTAATCATTAAGAATATAAATGAATTAAAACCATGATTTTGAATTTTAAAAGTTTTACGACAGTAAGTAGCCAGTGCTTTATGTTGTCCGTTAGCTGCCTGTATATTGTCTCCCAAATGTTAAATCTTCCGTACACTGAAATATGCACGGGCTCTTTCTGTTAAAAGACACGCACAGCTCCAAATTGCACCCAGGATTTACTATGCTGGTTACTGAGAGACTGGCACATATATGAGAAATCGGTCAGATGGAGGACCTCTAGTCAGTGCCATGACATTTATTTTCTTCTTCAGTTGCGCTTCTTTAGGGCCCTGTCACACCTTGCAGTGTTAGCCAGCGTAAGCCTGACGTCCCAGAATTTCCTAAAACGCTGTCATACGCTGAACTTTCTATGGATTTTTCAATTCTGGACGTATACATGGCGTATTCATCATGAGTCCAGAACTTATGTCCAACGACAACCTCACTTGTGCATTAGGAAGCATCAGTTAAAGCTGCTTCCCTCATGTGCTCAGTCTGCATCTTAGTTCACAGAATTAACCTAGCTGCTGTTTACCGTCTGGTTTAAAAAAGAAAGAAAAAGAAGGTTTGAAGTCACAGCAGATTCAGAGTCATGTCTGCTAGGAAGTTTGTTGGTCGTGGCTGTGGGCATGAACACTTAGACTGGAGGTCTTCAACAGGAGTCCACGAAAGTACTGCATGGGGGTCGCGAAATTGTTGGTTGATTAGACAATGTTTTTTTTTTCCCTGCAATTTTTTCCAACATACTGTAGTAAACAGAAAAATGGAGGCAGAAGACGTCTTTCAGTCATCAATGCACACATTCAGCGACACACAGGAGCTTTTTAAAGCTGGGCACCGTTTCATTCACAACACCTGTGCCATCAACCAGGAATCAGAATCCCAGGGTGAAATTACTTTCATTACATTACTCCATCTGTAATAGAATGACTATAGGACCAGTTTGATATAACACAATTTCATACAGTATATATAATTAGGGGGTCCCCGCTCCATCTCGCCATCATTTTGGGGGTCCTTGCCCTGGAAAATGTGGAAGACCCCTGGCTAAGAGGATCATCACATTTACCTTCTTGCTCACCCTATGATGGGGATGCGGAGTTGTGGAGTACTGACAGTTTCCTATTGTGAACCTCCTTTTGTACCAAAACGCTGCCAATTATACAGTACATTATACAGTAGCTGTAAGTTAGAAACACGTTCAGTGGTCGTCTGGAACACGTCAGATACGTTGATATGCATTGGAGATCAGCTCTTAAGTTATGCACAAGTTACTCATAGGTTGTGGATAAGCTAGACACCAATACTTATGAGTAACTTACACTTAACATATGTCAATGATAATAACTTACATGTAAGTTATTACCACATAGGGCTTAAGCTGGCATACATCGGGAAATTTTAAACATGCTCACGTCCACCTACAGCAAGTAGGTCCACGTGAACCAGCGTGTTTCAGCGTACTTCAGCGTGCTCTTAACTTATACAGAACATACCCATAACTTTTCCAACGTTTGCCAGCGCTTTTGCCAGATTTATCGTACGTCAGGCATATGCTGGTCTAAATTGTCAAGGTGTGACAGGGACTTTAGGTGTGCATATTTATGTAGTTTCAGCATATCCCCTTTTCATGTTAACTGGGGCAACCCACTAAACGAAATCCAAATTATGATCATTATTTTTCTCTGCACTAAAGATAAGAATGTGGATGTTTAACCGCAGGGTTTCATTGTTTTGATGATCTTGAAAGCTTGCTGGTTTAGAGTCAAATAGTTCCTGCTGTTTGGAGAACGTGCAAAGTTCTGCCCACTTACTTGGATCAGAACACCAGCTGCAACTCCTTTTTCTCTTCTGTGTAGCCATACCACCACCTAAAGGGCTTGATACATCTAATATGAACAAAACTGAGTGACTCTGTGAAAATTGCATTGTTTTTCTTATGATTATAAAAGCTTGAGTTCTTATTGAGGCCATCATGATCTGGAAATGGTTCCAGAGGAAAGAAGGCTCCTCGTTGTTAGGCACTTCATCTTATAACAAACTTGAATATTTGCACATGCCAGAAAGCGAGTTTGTGTTTTATCAGGATTCAAGTAACATATGAGGAAGTTTGCTGTCCCTCTTGTATTTTCAAGTTATTCTATTTCAGAAAGTATTGTTTATAAATGTACTGTGGGCCAAGCTACATAGATTTAGTCAGCACACATTGGCTGTTCGGCTAAACTATTTGACTTCCAGACAAGTTTGACAGTCATCAGTTGATGGGGAGACTTGTCTCATCTTCTCTTTACTTTGTGCAAATCCCATTTGTCCTGATCTTCTTTTAATTTGTTTCCTTCTTTGTTTCCAGATAAACATCATGCAGTGTATGGATTTAAGGATGACAAAAAGAACTCTGATAATCTGCCGAGACCCTGGATGATCACATCAACTAACAACAACAGGTAAGATGCTTCCATGGAGTTTGAATGCTGCTCTATCCATGTAAAATCGATCGAACGCTAACGGTTTGGCTACATAGAAAAGTAAAGGAGTTTCAGAAATATAATTTAATGGGGGCTGGTCAGCACTGTTGTACTTGAAAACAATCATGCCTGTTGGTTAATTTCCCTTTCCTTCCTGATAGACAGTATTGTTCTCATTGTGACTCATTTAACCTGGAGTAAACATCTTTTTTTTTTTTATGCCAGTTAGGTCATTAGGTTTAGTTAATCAGTTAGTGATCAAGGACTTGAGTGAGATTAGTCATGTTCCTTTAGTTCGTGTGCGTGTGTGTATATATCAGTGGGGATTTCTCATTGAATATTAGGAGTCCAAACCACCCCTGTACATTTTGTAAAATCATTGGGGAAATACGCATTATCAAACTTCATAAATGTATTTATTAAATTACATTAGATATATGCTAAAATGGGACTTATTTGATGAGTATGTTGCACATTAATCAGCTCGCTATCCCTGTAGAGGTTTGAGCCTCAGTCTATTGAGGTAAGCAGGGAGAAAGTAGAGCCCTGATTAGAAGACATGCCAAAATACGTCATTTCCAGTAAGGCTCAGCCTCTTAGGGGTCTATGGGGCAGGTCATGAAGCTGGCTGCTTGATGCTGATTGGCAAACGTACTTCATGATTGACAGACGGTGGCCAGAGAGCAAGGAGGTTTTTCATCTGGGTCAAGAGGGAAAAGTGATCATTGAGTCAGATCAGTCGTCTTGTGCTGAACTTTTGCTGTGGTTTCTGGACTTTATTTCAGAGGGCATCGCAACGGCTATTTTCACCAGTTGCAGTGATGTTGTATGTGTTTCAACATTCGTTAATTAACACGATTAACACGCCTCCCGCTATAGAGAGCAAAAAAATAAAAAATAAAAAAATAAAAATAAATATATATATATATATATATATATATATATATATATATATATATATATAATCTCCCTTAAGCCCACACTGCTCCCCGGGTGCCACACGATGGCAACCCTCTGCTCCCCAAAGGGGATGGGTTAAATTCAGAGAAGTAATTTCCCTCTGGGATTATTAAAGTAATAATATATATAGAATAATATAAATCAGTTTGCAAAATAATTGGTTACAAAGTCTGTAGATCATTTTTTTTGTTTTATAATCGGATAGCAAAGGTTGCTCACAGACTTCTGTGAAATTAAACCAAGTGAAGATTAAGCTTTTCCACTTTAGAAGTGCTGGATATAGCATATGGACAGACAAAAAAGATTTTAGTAAGTCTGTCTGATAAATCAAAAACTAACTTGGTTGACAATTATTTCAATAATTGATTAGTCACGATTTATCCGATTTTCTTTCAGCCCCGTATGTGTTTCTATGTGTACGTGTGTGTGTCTGTATGTATGTGTGTGTGTGTGTGCGCGCGTGTATATATATATATATATATATATATATATATATATATATATATATATATATATATATATATATATATATATATATATATATATAAAAAGCTGGAAAATTTCTTTGCTGCTTAGATTAAGATTGAATGGTAAAATTAAAGCATATTATTCGTTTTAAATAGAAGTAGCTTTTATTGTATTTTTTTTTCCATTTTAAATGTTTTAACTATCCTAAATAGGATAATTACTTTTTAAACTCCTAATTTTAAACCTTGTTTATTTGTATATACCTTTTTTATTTTTAAAATGGCTTTTCTATACGACTGGTTAAGCCTTTTTATTATTATATTTATCTTTCACTTAATGTTACAAATGTGAATTATTTAGCCGTTTTAAATAAGTTTTATGTTTCAGTTAAGATGCAAAAATAATGATTTTTCACTGTCTAATGTGTTGTTTTTTAATATTAGAATATCTAATTGAATGTGTTAATTTTCCTCATCATACCTACTACCCGGTATTTCCGCCATGGCTACGGTTTATTTCAATAATTGATGTGTGTGTGTGGAACGGAGTTGGTTTGAAATAAATACCCCCTTCCCCCAACCCCGGTAACGCGCAAGCGCTCGGGACCGTGTGGGAATGGTCGGTCCACGAACTGGGGGTTGGACCGCTCCGAGCGAAACAGAGCAAAAGAGTTTTTAAATGTCCGCCATGTTGTCCATGGCGCACTGAACCACCGATAGGGAGCGGAGCGTCGGAAAAAAACAGTCCGAGAGAGAGCGACCGAGATCCGGGCCTTCCCCCAGCTCCGCTGGCGACGCCCTAAATCCAAGCTAGAACCTTCCGAACGTTAGAGACTAACCGCACAGAAACATCCATGAAAGCTCCACTCGGTGCCGTTGTGAACATTAGGAGATCGGATAGATTTATATTGCATCTGGAATTGTAAAAAAAAAATGAGTAAATTGTCGTTTCGGGCACGGGCGCTGGACGCTTCCAAGCCACTACCCGTCTTCCGTTGTGAGGATTTACCCGACTTACACGAATATGCATCCATTAACCGGGCTGTGCCGCAGATGCCGACGGGGATGGAGAAGGAAGAGGAATCGGTAATGTATATATTTTTTTTAAAAAATGTGATGGTATAAGCTTTGCTTTATTTTTTAAACGATCAGAGGCGCCCCTCTTTTTTTCCTGCGCAAGCTATCGCAAAATGGCCGCCAATTTTCTAAAGAGAAAGACGACGGGTTGGGGCATCAAACGGCTCGTTTGTGTGACATGGCTGGTAGTTTTGGATACTTTAAAGCACGGCGATTCTGTATATGGAAGAAAATCCTCGTTTTGGTGATTTATGTATGCATGAGACGGGTTTCTAAGTACAAAGGGGTCATGTGACTTGAGCAATGCCGACATTTTGTGTCTAACGTTAGGAAGGGGGGCCTGCTGTTGGCGTAGTTGAGGAGAACGGAGGCAAGGGGGCGCTGTTGCTCTCAGATCCGCTTTTAAAAATGTCAACAATGCTACAGCGAATTAGCAGGAAAAAAGCACTTCTATTCAGAACTGTTTTTTGTTTGTTCTTTCTTGTATGTCAACTATGCTGAGCTAATATGATACATTTATCTGTTAATATTGATAAAACATTTCTTGTTTATACATATATTTGTTAATGTTTCCTTATTGTGCGATGTGTTACGAGCTGTTGTTTTAACAGTAAATGCATTAAGTTATCACCAAAAATGTGAAGCTTTCAGATCAGTCTAGCTGTCATTAACAAGAAGGGATTTCTCCTGTGCGTTTGCATCGTTGTTCACCAGGAGGGCATCCTTTATAAATTCTGTTATATTTAGGATATTCCTCAGTTTGTCTGCATGAATGCAGCATTGCTTATCTTCGACTTTCTTTTAATCTGCTGTATTTCTTCTAGTTGTTTTGCTTTTTGGAGAATATTTTGTAGTGTAAGGGGTTCCAGTGTGTCAGATGGTGGCTGGCTGATTAGTGGCCCCTGGCCCCCTAGAGCTACTCAGGGCAGTTTATAGAAGAAAATAAGGGAGTAGCTCCCACTCCAAAAACTGTTCTCTGCTCAGCTAGAGCATCTGACTTATATTAACATAAGTTGTCCAGGTTCAGTGTCAGGATCTTTAGGTTGATCTTGGTAGTTTTTTTTGGAGGGTTTTTTAAAATCACCTAGGGAATATATGATCCTTATAAACACAGGGATTGTCATTAAGCTGTCTTTTAAGACTTTACTCTACAAAAATGTGACTGTCCATCAGACTTTTAATGAGAATGACCCCTGATCAACCAAATAAACTCTGTGGGGCCCCATATTATTACGTATGATTCATAAATGGGAAAATATTAATTTGAACTTGCCGTTTAAAGCAAATGGGGTAATGTAATTAAGTGTTTTTATTATTATACAGTGATCTTCTGTAATCTTCTGTATTTCTCAGCAATTTTAAGCAACCAATATTTGCCCACCTATATGTATTCATCCTGGGATCTAGACCAGTTTACATTAACCTGTATTTCTTAAACTGACCATGGAAGTATATTTATTTTAATCTATTCAAACAGGAAAAGGCAACTGTGGTTTAAAAACCATCCAATATCGGTGATTAGCGTGGTGACGTTAATTTTAAATGTTTGCCTTCTCATGGGTATTTAACCGCTGATAAAAGCAGTCAGTTATTCTGGTTAAATTGGGGGATCATAATTGGTCTTTTCACCTTTCACTGTCAAGAGGGCTGGATTAGAACAATTATCAAAAGAATAATGTAATATTAAAGGCTAAGAAATTTGATTTATAGCTAAATTCTTATAGATCTGAGTACTCATATTACATAATGGTAATTCTAATAGAATTTCACAAAAACTGTGGGAGGGATGTTTAAATCATAGCAACCAAAGGGCTGTTGGTTGTATCTCATATTTTCTACATCTGCATCAGAGGGATAAATGTTGATGTTTCTGTATCAGGTCTTTATTTCCTTTCTGTTACTATAATACTGGGTTTAACTGTTATTTCATTTAGTCTATGTCCTTATGTTTGCATCCTACATGCTTAGAGGTCCTCATCCCCATACAGCCACATGTACAGCCATTTTAATTATGATTAAAATGCGGTAAATTAATAGCAAATGCATAGCAATCACTGAGCTGCAAAAAATTTCATTGTTTTCAATCAAAGCGAGTTGGCATATTAAGTCAAATATGCTTAGACTCATATTAAAAGACGTCAACTTGTTTGTTTTTTTTAAGTTCAATATCTGCATAGAAAGCAGAAGCTCTAGATGTTAAACTTGGACATACTCTAACCAAGGTTTATTAAAATACTGCGTTTATTTATATTTTATACACCTGTTTGTTTTCTGGTGTAGAGTAACCTTTGGTTGTTCATCTGAAGGCTGACTAACCCTGGAAAGCAGCCTAATTTTGTTGTGGACAGACGGAGGCTTCACACGTTTCTCTCCCCACCGCCTCAACCACACCACCACTCATCGGTTTACTGACTGACTGTGTGGTGTCCCCATGTTTCCTGATGCTCCGCTCATAGAAAGCTTTTATCAGCTGCGCATCGACAGGCCTTTTAGTAAAACCAGCAGCCTGTTTTTTCCGGGTCCGTCTTACAGTAGAACCACGTGGGTTTGTAGCTTCCAGGCAGCGTGGCTCGGCTACAAAGCCGGGATCACTGGCATTCCAGCAACACGTGCGGCCTGTTTGTTTTGGGTCAGGCACTTTGTCTTGTGTTTACGTTTATCTGCAATTGAGGTCAGTGTCTGCAGGTCTGGTGGGAAACCCGCAGGCGTCTGTTGTGTTTGCCTCCCTGCCAAACCCGCCGCTCGCTCCAACACACACCGACGACTCCTGGCCTGCTACCAGCTCCTCACTGTGTGACCTTACTGGGTGGGAAGGTGAAGTGCGTCACCTGTCCAAAGGCTCTGCCAGCCTCTGATTCATTCAAACTTTTGGCCATTTTCTGTTATGTTATCTTTAATTTTGTCTTAACTTACTAGTCTGTGTTGTTGCTGATCCAGAAGTTAAATGCTGTGCTTCCCACACAGAACGCTGAACAGCAGCAGCCTTAAAGGACTTCTCCTGCAGCTGTCTTAACACGTTTAGGAGCAGTTAAGCATCAGGGAAGCGACTCTGGGGGCAGCGCTGGCTGGCTCAGCATTTTTAACTGTGATTGATGGGGCTCATATTAGAAGCTATTTTTGTGTGAGAACCAAGACTGTCTGTGAGTTGACTCACCTCAGTCCGTTTATCATCAGGTCACAGACAGAAGGGAGAAAAAATTGGTGATTAGATTTAGCGGCTGGGGGAGGAGGGGGCGGCTGGCTTTATGAATGTAGCTCTCACTGTGTATAGAAGCTGAAGGGCTGGGTGTTGTCTGCAGGAATGACTCAAGAATATTTGGGTGGGAACTAAAACAATTATGCAACATTTACAGGGATGTTTTGTTGGGAAAATGGAAACTCCTTGGAAGTTCTGCAATGCTTAAAATGTGGCAGCTGTACACCAGGAAACAATAAAATTGTTGAATTTTTGCTCTGACAGTATTGGGTACTTTTTTTAACTTGGTATGTTTGTTTTATCTCAGCTTTAATGAGCGTTTTCTTCACTAATCTCTATATCTGGTGTCGCCAGCTATGGTAGTCAATCCAAATAATTTATCAAATGAAGCACTGGCTGATCAATCACCCCGATCAGTGGTGCTGATTTCTGATCATCAGGTTAAATTCTAAAAAAGCTGAAGTTTTCACTCTGATCTACACTGAATCGAAGATCTTTTTTTGTTTTTTTCTTGCTAACATTTTATATTAATCCACTTTTCTTAGGCTACGTTCACAACGCAGGCCTTGATGCTAAATCCCGATTTTTTTTTTTGTGTGAAATGAGATTTTTTATTTATTTTTTTGCATTGCCATTTACATTTCCAAATATATGCGACTTGTATGTGATCTCCTGTGTGAACTGCAGTCATACAGCTTAAGTTTCCAGCATGTGCAGTAGAGGCCGCAATGCTGTCACAGGCCAGCATGCTTTGTGTTTACGGAAGTAAACATGGATGGTAGCGTCGGACCGCATCTAGCGATCTTTCCGTACCATAAAAACACGATCCTTTTGAAGATGGTTAAACATAAATACTGCTCTCCACATCATCGTCTGACATGGTTGTTGTTTTTCTTGCTACTTCTTCATAGCAAGACTCAGAATAGTGACCTTTGTCGTGTCTTAATGGCGTTCAGGTTGGATGAATGCGAACTGGCCGCTCAGACACAGGTTGCATTTGAAAGGATCATATATGTATCAGATTCAGGACCACATAGCCAAGTGTCCTGGGTCGCATAAAAAAAAAATCGGATCTGTGTTGTTAGGACTGTCATGAAAAGATCAGATCCAGGTTGCATATGGGGAAAAAAAATCGGATTTTGGTGACTTTAGGTTGCAGTGTGAACGTAGCCTTAGTTTAATAAAAAATTGTTTCATGCAAACATGTGGATGATCTTGCTATGAGCAGCTAGATCACATCAGAGCATTGGGCCATATGGTTGTAAGAACATACATCATGAGCTGTGAACTTTTAAACACTTTTTTTTGTTTGTTTGTTGTTTTTTTGGTCGTACTATTGTAAATATAATACAGTGTATGCCCAGCCTTAACTGATCTCAGATCAGCACAGATGATCCTTAAAGGGTTTTCTCAACATCAGTGGGGCTTAACTAGACCAAAGAGCTTAGATAGGACAGTCCAGCTGCATGCTCTAGAAACACCACATGTACCTAGTATCCGTCTCTGTGGTGTTGAATAAAAACCATTTAATAAGAGGTTTTATCACGAATCCTGTGTTTGTTAGTAAACATTGATTATTGTTCATTCTTCTGTCACTCCAGCACATTAACTATTGCTATTCATCTTTTTAACCTCTGAAGTAATGTTTTTTGGAAAAGTATTCGTGTGATTAGTTTAATAGAAAAGTACAGAAGATTTCTTGATCAAAAGATTGGGTTTCTTGAGCCAACCCTATTAAATTGTCGCAGTAGAGTGCCTTTAGATGACATGTGTTGTGAATTGGTGATATTTAAATGAACTGAATTGATCTGAA